AGAAGATTGGGTTATTGCCGTTATTGCGAGCAAACGCGATTTGTGCGGCGGTACGTGCATCGTTATCCACAAAATTCGCACTCCCTTGTCTCGTTTCCAAGGCCTGGCGGCTCCTCGTCCAGTTTATGCGGGCTTTTTTTTTGGGGGGGGGGGGGGGGTACCGACGAAGCCAAAAAGAATTGAACGTCGGGTTGGACGCATGGCGCCGACAACTTTCGAAGCCGTACCGGGCGATTCAGAGAAGACGCAGGTGCTGGCGGGTTTGCCTACCCACTCAACCCGTAAGGCGCCATGCCATTGCCCCTTGGGTGCGGGTGGGTTGCCTACCCAAGGGGCTATGGCACCTTTCGGGTAGAGCGGGTAGGCAAACCCGCTCGCACCTGCGTCTTCTCTAAATCACCCGGTACTTTACTGTACCGCATGGTAAGCCTGTGGGCTGGTTGCCTATTCGCTCGCACCCTCCAGGGAGACAATGATGAAGATATGTACAGAAGGTGAAAGAGGCATGGGCCAAACCAGACAAATCCAGCCTCAAGTCAGCAAGCGGCACAGTACGTACGTTACGTAGCCAGGTGTAGATTGACTTTGACTAACCACGAGGCCTAGCGGCAGCGAAAGCAGCGGGTTTTGCCTTGCACACCGTCTCACACCACGGCGCCTTTCGCTGCCACTACACCTGGCTACGTATGGCCCCCTGAAAGTAGGCAACGCATCCACGCGCCTGCATGCGGTACCAAACCGGCCAATATACTTTGGCGACGATCGCTTTGTGACTTTTTAGCGGTGCGCGACCCACTTTTAAATGCGGGTCACAGCAGTAATACGTAGTGTTGTGAGGGGGTAAGGCGGGGGGAGGGGGGGCCTCACTGGGCCCTCTACAGCAGACCGCGAGGCGGGTGTGGAGTTTCACGACGGCGAGGCGAACGGCGCGCATTCGAAGCGCACGGGAATATACATACGATCTTGATCGAGTGCCAAAAAAACACCCTCCCCTGGTTTTCCCCGATCGATGCCACGTCCGATGGTCCGCTATACTACTCTATACTACTTGCCTAATATTAAAGGTACTTTTAAACGC